GTGCCCAAGATCCCGAGAGAATGGAGGAGAAGGGATTGCGGTGTGGCCATACCCCTGGGGGGTGCTTTTCACTTTCTATCTCTCTGTCTCCTTCTGTCTTTCTGGTGAGCCCTACAGCAAAAAGCCTCTCCAAAAAAAAGGGACCCACAAAAAAAAAACCCTCCAAAAAAAAAAAAAAAAAAAGTAAAATACACACACACACACACACACATGCATATCTCTGTGTTTTAACTGGAAATCACTTCAGTGCCAGTATTTTAGATGGCCAGATTCTATATTACCTACACTTTTTTTCCCTAGAGATTTTCCAACAGCAAGTCAGATTAGGCATCTTTCTACAGCCATGGTCTAATAATAAGCACAAAACTAAATAAAAGACATTGCTTCAAGCTGGTGAACACGTTGAGGTGCTGGTGTGTCTAGAGAAGGCATGGAAGCTCTGGACATCCTCACATCCCTGTACCTTGCCCTACATATCTCTCCCATGTGGCTGTTTGAGTTGTATCCTTTATAATAGACCAATAAACTGGATATGGCCTTGGATGTTGGCACAGCTAATATTGTCTTTGGTGATCTGGAAAATGTTCTTTGTGAAAGTATCAAACAAAAGGTGAAAGCATGCTGAAATTCAGCTACTCAGTTTATGTCTGAGGTTCTTCTTGATTTACCTGTTACCACAACTACTGGGATGTGGGTGTAGGCATATACCAATAATGGGGTCTGGCCATTTGCAGAAAACCTCTTTGGGGAAGAAGATAAAGCTGTTAACAGAATGTGGAATGTGGGCTGTAAAACAGAGGTTACAAAATACCTAAGGCCACCCTCTGCATAGAACCCCAAATACAAAAGTGAGGATTTTCTTGAATAAGGACATTGGAAACATTTCCTTTTTCAACATTAGGAATGGATCCTGCATCTTTATAGTCACCAGAATGTCTGCCTTGTAACTACTGTGCCATTGTTTTTGCCTTCAAATCCAAATCATGGTGATTAGGGCATCAGGTATAGATCCTGTGATGCAGATCCAGTTTTAGTAATTCCTACAATATATGCTGGGGAAGACCAGTAAAATTATACTCACACACACACAGAACTTTTTTTTTTTTTTTAACTTTTTTTTTTTCTTTTTTTTGGAGAGGTTTTTGCTTTAGGGCACGTGTGTGTGCACCAGCAGATAGACAGACAGAGAGATAGAAAGTGAGAAATCACCTCCCACGGGGGATGGCCACGCCGCAATCCCTTCTCCATTCTCCTCTTGGGATCTTGGGCATGCACGCACACGCGCCCAGCATGAGTTTAAGCCACTGGGCCTGGGACTCGAACCACGGTCGACTACATGGGAGTCCAGCAACATAGCCATTACGCTAACTGCTGGTCCCCTCACACACACACACACACACACACACACACTTTTATGGTAAAGAAGTTGACATCTAAAAAAATGTTACAAATGGACCAGCAGGTGACATGGCAGTTAATGCACTGGATCCCACATGGCCAACTCAGCATGTTCAAGTCCAGAATGTGGTGGCCTGAAAAACATGTTGGGGGCGGGGGAGTGCGCATGTGTGCCCAGAATCATGAGAGAACGGAGGAGAGGGGATTGCCCTGGGGGGGTGATTACTCTCCCTTTTTCTGTCTCTGGAGAGTGAACAATCCCTATAGCAAAAGTTCTAAGAAAACCCAAAAAACAAAAAGTTAAAGAATGATAACGTGTGGAACCTTTGACAAATCATAAATTTAGATTTCAAAAAATAATCTAACACTAATTAGGAAATACATTTCATGTTAATATAGAAGTTTGCTTTGGGGCTTGAGATTTCACATCTGAATTTCTATCTCTTGAACTTTCAGGTCAAGTAAGAACATTTTTGGAGAACAATTATTTCATTACATGTAGGAATTAGGATTCATTCAAGAGCATACTTAACCTACTATAAATCAATAAATACATTTTGTGTATAAAACTGAATATATTCCTATAAAATTTTCTGAGAAAAATCTAAAAGACTAGAAGTCTCAATATAGTTTTTCTACTGATTAATCTGCTCTTTGTATTTCAGTTTCTGCCTACAAATTGGTTTAAGGATACTCATTTTTTTTTGGAGAGGTTTTTACTATAGGGCACCTGCAGTCACCAGAAAGACAGAGAGACAGTGAAAAATCCCCCCCTGGGGGTTGGCCACACCCCAATCCCTTCTCCTCCATTCTCTTCTCAGGATCTTGGGAGCACATGCACCTGGTGTGAGTTTTAAGCCACTGGGTCCAGGATTCAAACCGCGGTTGAGTACATGGAAGTCCAGTGACATAGCCATTATGCCAACTGCTGGTCCCAGGATACTCATTAACTCACATGATTGCTAGGAAGATAAAATCTGGCAAAAGATACCATCTTTTGGTAGTAAAAGTGTAAATGGTATTCTTGCTATTAGTAATGCAATGCTTTTGCATATTTTTAGTAATGTTACTGACTTATAAAATATTGTACAGTTAACATTCTGTGTATATACATTTTAAAGAATTATTTTATTTATTTATTTAAATTTGACCAGAGAGGGACAGACTTGTGAGAGTGATACTGAGAGCAAGAGTAAATGAGACAGAAAGAGGAAAAGTGAGAAAGCAAGCTGCTGGGTCTGGGACTCAAATGGCCTTCAGCCATATGGAAGTCCAACACCCTTAACCACCGCTCCAGGTGGCAGCCCCCAGTAGATACATTTCATTACAAAGCACATACTTGTTTTCTCAGAGGGGGCCTATAGTTAACCTAATTATAAACTTCAATATCACATGGGCATAAGGAAGTGATTTTTCTTTGTCCCAGCAATTGTGGTAAATAGACTTCCAAACTGATTATAAAAGAGTTTATTTATTCATGTGCTGAGATCAGGTGAAGTTGTATTAGGCTCCAAACTTTGTGGGTTAGGCTCACTCCAGTTGGAACTGCATGGAATGACTAAATTTCTCCATTATAGTGCTTGACGAACATAATTGAAATGTTGGAGGAAGGAGACTCCACAGTGAATCCCCACTGAGGAGAATGGTCAGCTTATTTCCAAATGGAAATCCCCAATTGCCACATCACATCAATCATCTGACATATAATCTGACTTCCATTGAGCTGGAATGTTCTCTAAAGGTCAGGTCTCTGGATAAAGAATTTGTGTAGTGGGTTTATGCAGCAGAAATGCCTAAATCAGGAGCACGGTGTTCGCGTTGGCAGAAATAGCTTCTCTTCACATAGCAGAGGGAAAGAAAGAATATTTTAAATTAGAAGTCTTTTGCGTGAGCACATTTTCTGAGGTTTCTGTATCTCATTAAAAAGTTGGATAAAGACAGGAGGGTGGGGATAAAATCCCATTTGTTTACTTTCATAGATGCTGCATAACTGGAGTTCTGCAAAGACAATTTGACCTAATATTTAAAAAATTTGGGAAATGCCATATTAGAAAAAAAACAAAAACCCAGATTTTTTTTGGCTTCCCTTAAGAAACTGGAACCTTTGGGGCAAGGCGAAAAAGTAGGCTGGCTCTGGGAATCGTCTGCTCCCTCTACACATGCTCTGCAGTGTGCTCTTCCTTGTTACTCCCGAACGTCTTACACCCTCAGCCCCCGCAGGAGTCGCCTGCAATTTATAAACCGATGCAAAGGGCTTTTTTTTTTTTTTTTTTTTTAAGAGCAAATCTCTTTGTTAAAAAAGGGAGGGAATCACAATGGCTGCTTTGCTTCCAAAAGTTACTAGACCCGCTGTTTTTTTCCCAACGATCTGACCCTAACCTACTTTCAGACTAGTCAAAAGGCATGAAATTAAGAATCAAAGGATGGTCCCAGCTACCACAAGCCAACTGTGTGACCTTGGGCGACTCCGTTAAGCTTAGACGAAGGTGATGAACGGTTAACGGCCTCAATACCTGTTCTGCAGAGACCTCACACAGCCGTTGCGCTGCACACAGATTTTTAAATAACTCAAAAGTAATTTATAATGCGCCAAACGTTTCCCAGCACAAGCGTCCGTTACAAAGTGCAATGACACTGCGGATTTAGAAGTCCGGTTACTGGAATCCTCTCTAGTTCCCGCGCCGCTCCCATCTCCCAAGCCCAAGGCAGGCGAGCTCCAGGATGTTTCTCAGGAGAGACGATCTGGAAAACCGGCTACTAAACGGAGCGAAGCGAGGAGTTCCTTAGCAAAGGTGAAGTTGCTGGCGGCATTTTCAAGCCCCCCGAGTGACATACCAACTCCCAGCCGAGATGACACACTCGGCCGCACGACCAGGGCGGGAACCGGTCTTAGGCCCCGCTCCCTGCTCGAAGCCGTACGTGGCAGGCAGAGCCGAAACCCTCTGGAGCAACCCCGGACCCTCGGACTTCGCCCGCATCCCAACCCCCACAAACACCTCCCCAGCTCTCGCCTCCACGTGACAAGAGCCGGAACCGTCACTTCCGGCGGCGCGGGCATCGCGCCTGCGCGGGGCGCCGGGCCCCAGTGGGGGGTTGGCAGC